TTAAATATTGATATTTATATTTAGAAACTAATTGAATTCTTGAATTTTGAATTAAAATTTAAGTTTTTAAATATAAATTGCAACTCTAAATTTTTTTAAAATCAAAATTGATGTGTATTAACTTCCTTTTTTATATATATCCAATAAAATGAGAATGCAATAATTAATTGATAATGTTTAATATTTATCCCTAATTAATCATTACTCGAATAAGTCTTTTTATTTAATACATGTTGTATTCCCCCCCGTTTATTTTTAGTAGATTTAGTTTTATTTTTTAACTTTTTAAATATCCAAAAAATTAAAAAATTAAATTAGGTCTACAAAAAATAAATAGAGAGAATAATTATTTTTTAAAAATAAAAATAAAATAAGAATAAGTGTATTAAATGATATCCTAAAAAAGAAAGGTAGAGAACTAAAAAGAAAAACTGAAAAATTAAATTTGAATATTTTAAATTAAAAATTAAGTTTATTAAAGTTAAATGAAATGAGTAAGATGTTAAATGCTAGTATCTCAATTTTATCCTTATTTCAAAAGAAAATAAAAATAAATTAAGACCTTTTAATTCAAGTGTTATTTATATAATATATGTTAAACTTTTATTTAAAATTTATATTTAAAAAGTTAAAACGTGACACTAAATTTATTTTAGAAAACAAAAGAAATATTATTTTATGAGAAATTTTCAATTAAAAAATATATATTATTCATATTTGGAGAAACTACTAATTATTATTACTTGTTGGCTCACCAAAATCTTGATTATAATTTTTATTTTAATTTTGAGTTACGCAATCTCTTTTTATTTTATTTTATTTTTTAAAAGCAAACAAATAAATCATACTTAAGAGTCTAGAGGGCACTCCATCCCTCACTGCAATTCTATTAGCAAAATTTAATGGTTTTAATCCCCTACTCCAAACGTGTTGTTGCAATCTTCATTTCACCCGTATCAGTATGCTTATAAGTTATAACTCTAATATAAACTCTATTGCTGTGCTTACTAGAAAAGTTACCACTGCGCTACTCTTCGGCATTCACAATTATTTCTTACCATTATTAAAAAAAGATGTTGGTCAAGCTACTAATTAATCATTTTACACAATTGAATCTATTTCGTATAACTTATACCCGCCTCTTTTTAATGGTACTTACAATTATTTTTTTTAGTATTTATAATCATGTATTTTGTGTTAATTTTTACTTAATTTGAGATGAATATTTTTTTTGGGTATTTTAAACACACCTTATATTTTTTTTTTTGACCATATATAATCTGAGGGTAGGGGATAAAAATTATAATATAGTAATATTATAATTCAAATCTAGTTATTATTAAAATATTAAATACACTTATTAAATGGCCATTAAAACTTATTGCACATCCTATATAATGGCTTGGTACTTTCCGTATAAACCAAGCAAAATTCAAGCTATTGTATTAATTATTTTCATCAACATACAAGTT